TGCATAAGTCAACACTTTCACACGCATCTCATGGATACACTCTTTGCAGGTTTTTCCCAGAATGAGCTTCATGAACAATTACCCTGTATTATTCCTTTTGAAAATACTTGATTTATATTCTAGTTGAGTTAAATGGATTAAAGCTCATATTCACCCGATTGCTCAGTTTTGTTTCTTTAGCCAACAACCTTGTTCTCCTTTCATATTTGCCACTCAGAAGATTCACTTTCAGCAACTAGCTAAACCTTGCTAACTAGAGGTTGCCTCTTGCACCTTGCTGGCTACAGCTTCACTGACCTGGTTCACATGACATGGCACCCACCATGGCTTAATTTACATGGGTAAATCATCCTGGGTATCCATGAACACAATTGCATTCAGCTTGTTGGGTCATGCAAACCAACCAGCAGGGTTACTATGAGGGTAGGGCAATCTGCAAATAAGTAATAGCTCATTTAGCCACACTCAAGAGTGGGGCTTCCTGCCAGAAATGGAAAGCAGTACAATTAAAAAGTAAATTGATCACATAATAAACCACAGTACAGAATAGTCAGGAATGTAATATGTGGATGAAATTATATCCCATATCTAAATTGCTTTCTGGCCATTTTCTCTTGCTATTTATTTTACATTAATGTCTCCTTAACATCTGCTTGGGGCAGCTGTGGATCACCTGCCAAGTAAAACTATAATTAGGGTTTCTAGCCTCAGTTCTGTTCCTGGACAGATACTCATTGTGCTTTCCTTCATGCCTCAATATCTACCTATCACACTCAGGGGTCCTCCTCTTTTCTGTCAAGAAATTCTTCCCACTTTTGGTCCTGGAAGGCACCTGGTTGGTGCTGCCTGCTTTTATAGCACCACTGATATAGCCCCAGTCATAACACATAAATATTACAAAGTACATAGGAAGTACTAGATATGGTTAGTATTGAATTTGTGATATGCTTTTAACTTGCATTGTTTAATTATAGTGCAATGCAATCTAGACCCTTACAGGAACAGGTGTTGGCTTTATGTCAACTTCCCAGCCCTTGAAAACAACGGAAGACAAAACTGAAGTGTGCAAAAACCAGTTCCCAGATATAAGCTGCTATCTGCTTTCAATGCACTGCACAGTCCTATCAATGAATTGCCTGTTTTAGCTGAGCCCTTATTTTGAATCGATAACCAGAACTTTTTGATAGGCTACAGCTTAGATGCAAAGCTTTGTTAACACCAGAAGTTAAGGTATCATATCTGACTCTGATCTGATGATACAGAAACAACTGAAACATGGTGGGTCAGGAAAAAAAGGAAGTGTACTAACCACTGCTAGCAGTGCTACGTACCACACCACATCCCAAGCAGGTTTGTCTAGCCATTAAACTCCTCAACAGAAACACTTCAAAATGTGCACTACATTACTCTGGCACTTTTAGTTATGGCGGAGGCTATATCTACACTACTAACAGAAGTATCATGGCTTCTGCCAAAGAACCCAGGAAAACAAGAATTCTCAGATTCCCCATAAAATGTTAGTTCCCAGATGAACACTGGGGAAGAGAAGAGAAGCTGTGATGATTACACCAGTTCATAACACAGACATGCCTGAACTTTTATCAAAATATTGAGATTTCCCTAATTTGAAACATACAGGAAATCTACATCTTCAATGTAAATTAAAGAAGAGATAAAAGGAAATGAACTGTTGAAATCAGCTCTAATTTGAACACTGAAACAGTCACAAAGCCTGTTGTACAACGTGTACCAGAGGTATGACACAACCATGCCATTCCGCCATCTGCCCTACACTCAATCATCATCTTAAGCAGAGTCAAGATACAGAGTACAACATACATTTAAAAAGTCACAGTCAGGGCCATATAACAGAGAGAATGTGGCATGGAGCATGCAATCCAGCTCTGCAGGAATCTCAGGTGCCATTTTTTAAAGAATATGTTTCTAAACCTCATAACTGAGAAAATGTTAGAAGTGTGTGAGCAAGGCCTGCTGAAATCTCAGCAACCAGAGGAATGGCTAACTATGATTTCTTGTGGTCAGAAGGCAAGACTTTAATATCCTGAAGAGATCACTTGCCCCTGTCCATGATTTGCAAAATTGCACAAAACAGGAACTGTTAAGCATAGATAAGTTAAGCAACTTTTATTTTATGTAGCTCACAGAATTTTGTTTGGTGTGGAATTTGGACCATGTCAACATGGTGGATTTTTTTTAGCATCAAGAACACAATATTCCTGCTGTAATTTCAACATAATCTAGCCCCCTCAGCATGAAAATATAATACAAACAAGATGATAGAAGCAGGATGTACACTAGCAAGCGACTATTCAAAAGGCACACACTTGCACACAAGCAGTGTCCTAGACAGATGCCAGGAACAGAAGCCTCACCTATCATTAAGCCGTTCAGCACACTACCAAGGCATTATCTCCAAAGCAGTTTAATTACTCTTTGGGGAGGAAATGAATTAAAATGAAGCAACACCTAAGTAACTCTAAAGATCTCCAGATCACCAGAGAAACTGGATTTCAGCTAGAGTACAAAATGTTTAAATATGAACCATCTCCAGGAACAAATGCACAGTAGAAACAAGAACAAACATGACTGACTTTCCGAACATTACTTTCACAATCAGTATTAGAGCTCTTCTTTCAAAACAAGGCTCAATTATAGGCCAGTGCTATAAACTAGCTCAAAACTCAATGCAGCCCTAGACAAGCTGTTTCAGTAGCCTTGGTCCAAATGGTTAAGAAACTGCTGGGAGAAAGATAAGGCAATTGCAAGGATAAGGAGCACATCCTAGACTACTGAAAAATCTTAAGATCAGTCCCTTGTTTACTTCTGACTGCTTGCAAGTACATTTCTTTTCTAACCACAACAGCTAGAACACTTTTTAAAAAAGATTAAATTTGCCAGATGCAAATTTAAGCACTGGCTTCCATAAATACCTTTGTAGACTGTTTTTACAAGAAGAAAGGGCACAGTCTTATGGACTGCCTTCCTTGCTCAGAAGCCCCCAACCTAAGAAGCCTCTAAGATTCCTAAGATTCTGCTGGCCAGACTAAAGCCAGCAGACACAGGGATCAGTGGAGTGGATCCTAGCCTCCCATCCTCTGATCTGCTTTATTTTCACTAAGTCCAAGGGCACTTTAGAGGATGAGGGAAGGTGACCCAGGATAAATCATATAGTGACCTCTTCAGTCTCTTCCCCTCACTTCAGCAAACCTCCTTTCCATGTTGATAATCCAACCTGACAGAAGCAGCCAGCAGTTCCCTGTGTGCTGGCTGCCAACTGTAGAAGGGATTTTCTGAGCCATCCTATGGCCCTTGCCCAGAGACCATAAGATTACTTTCAAAATTATGCTGTGAATTCCCAACACTGTGCTCTTACATAATGTGCTGTTTGGCCTTGTGTCAAAAGTATACAAGTTAATATTTCAGAAAACAAATTCTACATGATCTATAGGTCCCAGTGAAAAGCCACTATCAAGCCTAACTTTTTTAATCCTTATGAATTTAAGTTATAATTCAGCTTCATGTAGGTGGAAAGTATGCAACACATTCAGGCACAACTGTGGGCACATGGCAGTGTGCAGTTAATCGTACTTGAGACAACTTCGCTTGTTCTTCCTCTTACCCTATCCCTTCTCTTTTGTTTGTGTGTTTTTACTACTTCCATGTGTGCAACCCTCAAGTCACAACTCATTCTTTCAACAACAAACATCATTAAGCAATCGAGGAGTTAACAGCACATAAATCAACTTCATTGAACATTTGAAAATAGTGACCTCAGAAGAAGGCAGCCCAGTGCCTTGATCCCTACATCAGTAGCTGTATTTATCTTGTGCTATATTGTGTGGCCATGAAGACTGCAGGAACATTTCTTATTCAGATGACAGCTATGCCCAGGAAAGCTCGTAAAATAACACTCTATGGTCACTTGTAGTGTATTTTTCCCTCTATGATCTCACGCTCACCAAACATGGTATAGACCAGGGTGGAGAACTTGTGGCCCTTCAGTTGTTTTGGCCTGTAAATTCCATTATCCCTCACTGATGGTTATGCTGGCTAGTGCTGAGTTGTAGGCCAAAACACTTGGAAGGCCAGTAGTTACCCATCCCTTCCTTAACACTTTCTTCCATCTCTATTAGCTTTGGCAGGTTCCTTTAGGCCCTCCTGCATATCCAGGCACACGGGGATACACACATGACTACACAGAAGTTATTCCCCTATGGCTTCACTCCATACAATTGTGATTGCTACAGTGTTGTCAGTCCTTTGCTACCTTGCACTACCACACCAGGAAGGAGAGTCACAATTTAGACATTAGTCCTACTCAAGGTTGTTGTATTTACACGTATAGCAGAGGGGCAGTACTGCAGAGAAGGTGCTCTCATGCTGACACGTCTGTGTGTAGGGAGCCAGTATGCAAGTTCTGACACACTTTCACAACCCTGTTTCAAAATGGCTGTGGGGGCAGATCAGCTTTGTTTTGCAACATGGCTAGTCACTCCAGATGACTAACTCTTCCAAGCTGCAATCAGTACAAAGTACATCCATAGGCAACTAGCCACCAAAAAGTCTTTTAAGTCAACCTAGAACATTATTACTGAATAATTATTCCTGAAATAATACTGCAGAGATAATAGCACAAAAATTTATAATACTGCAATTGACAGTGCATTAATGAACATGAGAGATACCAATCTACAGGGGATGGGCACTCTTTACATTTTGAAAATAGATCCCTTCATATCTGTTATGATCTTAAATTCAGTATGTGCTAAGGCCTTGCAAATGTTGATCTGACTTTAAAATTAAAACAATTAGAAGGGCAAATTTGAATTCTGATGGCTAGTGTCCTCATTTCCAATTTTCAGCAGGATTTTTACACTTCCCAAATTACTCTCCCAGTAATGAGGGTCTGAAACATGTCTTTCAAAAGGAAAACCAATCCCAAGGAAGCAATATGCATCACCAAAAAAAATTCCACTTACCAGTGGCATTTGCTATAGTGAGGGGAAGACCTTGCAGCTGATGCACCTGGATTCCAGATCCCAGAGCCCCAAGATTAATGGTCTGAAGGCCTGGTACAGAGGATAGCTGAGCGGCATTTACAGTAACAGTACCGCTGGGCAAGGAAGCAGAAGCTATTGGTGTGAGTGTTGTGTTGGTGCTCCCTGTCTGTCCCAGGGAGACTCCCTGCACTGGAGCCAAGGCGATTGTCTGAGCTTGCGGGTTCTGGACCTGAAAATTTTGCAGCTGAATTGTTTGCCAGCTGACCTGCCCATTTGGCCCCACAGTGGGTGTTCGAATAAAGATGGGACCAGCATTGGGAAGAGCCTGGATCTGCAAGTTCTGCAAGGCATCTTGGGTAAAGGTCTGGCCAGCTTGGCCTCCTTGAACAACTTGAGGCTGCACCAGGATTTGCTGCTGCTGCTGCTGGTTTTGATCTGCATCCTTCTGTTGCCCTTGCTGAACTGCGATTCCAGCAACCTGCAGGGTGTCAGTGTTTTGAGCACTGCTTGTCCTCTGAGGCGCCTGGACCTGAACATTTGTTCCCACAGTGCCGCTAGTTGAAAAATTCATGATGCTCAAGTTACTTGTTGTGGTTGTGGTATTGTAGCTGTTGGCATTAGTAAAGAAACAGGCAGAGTTGGCTTGGGATGCAGCCAGAGTGGAGGAAGTGATGGAGGTGCCAGATGTCACAGGTTGAGAGTTACTGTCTTGAGAGCCAGAGCTGCTGAGAGTAACTGACTGTGAAGTGGGTGCCAAACTGGCAGCAATGCTATTAACAGGCAACAAGGTGATATTGCCATTTAAAGCCAGTGGGACGTTTGTGACATACTGAGCCTGTCCTGAAAGGGTGTTCACCCCCTGAATAGGGACAGCCTGCTGCAAAAGATTTGGCATAGCAGCTAAGATATTTCCTGTCCCAGACCTGTTTGCAATGAGTTGCTGATTTGTTCCAGGAATGATCTGCAGTTGACCAGAGGCATCCTGCTGGACACTGACTTGAGTGGGGGTCGTGGCAAACTGCAGTTGTTGTCCATCCATGGTTTGAAACTGGGGGATCACCTGGTACTGAATGTTGGGTATCATTCCCGACAAGCCCGTCAGGACCTGCTGGTTTTGCATATTAGGGGTGGTAGTAACCACATATTGCCCAGCAGTAACAGGCCGGCTTTTGGATGATGAATCATTCTCCTCATTGCTGTTGTTTCCTTGGTCTTTTGGGGAGTCAGAAGTCCCAGAAGGGGTGGAAATAATTTGCCAGCCATTTGCATTCTGGGAGATTTGAGTTGCAGCAGTGAGATCCAGTTCATTTGAGCTTCCCTGTTGTCCCTGTGAGCTGTCAGCATTCTCGTTGGGAGATTCAATTCTGCTGCATGTGGCTGCCAGCAGAGCCAAAGGGGAAGGCTGAGAATCCTATCAGAAAACACAGTCAAGGAAAGGTGGAGTCAGGTACCTATTTGGCTGTTCTGTTGGTTGCACAAAATTAAAAAAGGAAAAAAAAAATCCAGGGTGACGTATACTCACAAAAAGCCTACCAGAAACAGGTAACCCACCCACTACCAGGAGGGCAAACTACAAGCACTTGATTCATAAGCATAGTACAGATCAACAGAATATGAAAGCCACATATAAGATTCTTAATAAAGTAGACATCCTTTGACTTTTAAAAATCCCTTTAAATTTGCTCCAATGTGTTCAAAGCTATGAACCCACAAAACCAAAGGAAACTTAGACTAGGCATCTTTACAACGCAGTGACTCTTAAACAAGGAAGTTCAAATCTCAATGCTCACAGAGTTACTGCTACAATTTTCAGCAAAACCTTTAATTAACGCACCCTCTTCCAAGTTTGCCCTTTCTCTAATACAAGAGACACCACTTTTTCAATCCAACACTCCAAGCTTACACAGCTAAAAAAACACTGATGTTTCAGGGCATACCCATGAAGAATGCAAACAGACTAATTTATTTGTCCCCAAAGAAACAGATCACAAGAATGTACCATCCCAATATTCATTGGGACAAGATTACCTTCCCTAACCAAAAATCTTGTCTGTTCTCACCCATTTTCTGTTTTAGAACTTAAACTCACCTGGCCTTCACACTTTCCTCCATCATTACTGCTGCTTTCATCTATCTTCTCAGTCTTGACAATAACCATTTCTTCTGAAATATCATGGTCTGTATGGGATTTGGGGGACATGAGGAACAAGAGTAAAAATGGAATGGTAAGTAGTTCAAAAGCAAGTAGTTCATCCAAAAGAAGGAAGAAAAGCACAGAGGCAGTCTGAAAATACTATTCTAAAAATGAGCTTTTCAGAAAACTAAATAGTTACTATGTAAGTAACTCACTTTACTACAGACAACATGAAGTATTGTACCCATGGTTGTAAACTAGGTATTGATTACCTTGGCTTTGAAACTTATATCCCAAAACATCTAGCTGTATGAATAGCTGACCTCAATATTATGATCCCTATAGGGGAGAAAGTCAGGGAGGCGACAGGTTAAGAAAAATAAAGCAAAGCAAATAAAATAAAGATTGGGAACACAGAAAGATCCAGTACAATATAGTGAACAGCACTAGACTTAGAAGACCTGTGTTTTAATTTCTACTTAGCAGTCAAGTTCACTAAGTGGTTCTAAGAAAGTCACTCTGTCTCATCCTAACATACGTCACAGGATGAAGGATAATATCACGTACAAAACTCTTGGGAAACCTGAAAGGGTAGGATACAATCACAATAAATATGAGTCTGGTTAGCATTTAAAGGGTATTGGCCAGTATACCAGAAGAGGGCAGTGTCATGCATAATCAATGGAAAATGAGAGGGGGGATGGTGGTAGGAGAAAGTTGCTGTAATATTAGGAATAAGACTTATAAAAGTAAAATGGCTTTTCACCAGTCTGAGCTGCCATTCATTGTTAATAATACCTACACTATACAAATTAATAAGAAATATACAAATTGTACTAGGTTCTGATTAAGACTGGCCGGTGTGCTGGCAGGATATTTGAGTATGGCTGTCTCTGCCCCACCCTAGCCACTTCCTCATAGTACTGCTGTAGAATCAGACAAGCTTTCATGCTTCAGGGACATTATTAAATAAGAAAGCAGATCTGGCAAGTAATTCAGACAAAACCCCATGTGCAAAGTGATCCCCTTCCAAACATATCCTTCACCACCATGTAACAAATGGTTTCTAAATTCTACTTTTAAATAAGAAATGCCACCCATTACTCTTATCTATTCACAAAGCCAAATTTCTCAGATTGTCTGGAACCTGTGCTTTTCCTTGGCAGAGTGGACCAAAAAATATTAATTTTCCACCAGCATGCTGCTAAAAAGACCTTCAGCTTCAGCACCCCTGTTGACAGGCAATTCTGTTTTTAAGGTAATAGAGCACTGTGCTGATTTCAAAAAAAGTGTTCTTACATATAAAGCAAAGCCCATCTGATGGGAAGGGGAGTCAGTTGCATGAGTCAGACCCAAATGGCGTAGGAGTATGCAAACTCCTGACATGCATATGACCCAACAAGGAATTCTGCACTAATGTACGTCAATCACCCCAGCCCAACAGTGACTTCTGAACAGGCTCTTCCTCCTGGGAAGTTCCACATAAGTTGGTAGCCTTCACTGTCTTTGTTTAGTCCAACATAAACCATACCCTTGTTTCATGCCTAAAAAGCACGAATACATAAAAGACAAGCGATGCAAAAGCAGGCCTCCTGCATGTGTTGCATTTTATCTTTATAACCAACAAGTTACTAAAGGGTGCCCGTCTACGTTTCAGGAAAAAAAATGCAGTACCACACTGGTTCCCTTCCGAGTTTCTCTCAAGAAACCATTTCTCATAAGTGAGGCGCTGAGCCTCCAGCCTGCTTGGAAGCCACATCCTCCTTCCTGCAGTCCGACCCTTCCCCCCACTCCCCCTAATTTCAGGCAAATGGGAGGTCTAGAGAAATGACTCTCCTCTGCTCAGTCATGAGGAAAAACAACTCTGTACATGTTCTAAAGCACTCCTCTTTGGTTGCCAACGCGGGAAGTTCCGATCCTGGCGCGCGGATCCCGGCTCAAATTAACCACTGGGTCGGCACGCACACGCGCTTTTCTCTCAACTTCCTCTTCCAACCACCCCCACCGGACAATCTCCTGCGTTTCCCTCCCAACCTTGGGCCGCACCGAGGGAGTGTCGAAGGCTCCATCCCGCTCCGTGCCGCCTCCGTTCCCGCCGCGAAATTCCCACTGCAACGCTCTTGCTGCCCCCACCTGGTCCCGCCTTTGACCGCCCCCCCACGGCGATCCTTCTCCTCCTCCCCGGCGAAGGTGACTTGCCCTCGCCGGCTTCCTCCACCCCCAAGTCGCAAACCCCACTCCCCTTCTCGGGCCCCTCCCTCAGAGGCTTCCCTCGGATCCCGGCGCGCCTTCCCTTCCCGTCCCCTCCCCAGGCTCGTTACCCCTCCCCCGCTCGGGTCCCTCCGCCCGGGGGGCTGGGCTGGGCGGGGCGCGGAAGAGAGAAGGAAGGCGGCGCCCCCCACCCAGCCACGATGGTCCCGTCCTTACCGCTCATGTTGGCTGAAGGGGGGAGGCGAACCCAAGTGGCGCCGGAGGGGTGGGCGGGGCGGGGGCAGCGAAGTCGGTGACGAGGCAGCGTAACCCCACCGGTGACCGCCAAAGGGTTGGAGAGGGGAGGGAGCTGCTCCGACACAGCCCAAGCCCAGGTACACGCCTCTCGTCCCTCCGCCCAATCACAGAGCCAGAAGGAATCCGCGGAAGGCTGGGCTAACTGTGAATGACGTGACTTTCGACCATTAGGACAAAGTGAGGCGGGGTCTCGCGCGGGAAGGGGGAGAAGAAGAGGAGAGTGGGAGCAGTTTACTAAAAGAACCTCAGCGACGTCCCCCTTCGGAAACGCCTCTAAGCGAAGTTCCACCCAATGACGGAAGGCAAGGCTTGATCGAGGATTCGTCTAATTAGCGTGCTAAGTGGGACGGGTGAGGAAAGGACGAGGCTAAACTAATAACTGACTTAGCAGTTGGCCAATCGACGATCGCGCGGGTTGAACCCGTATGATGAAATTGCGCAAGTTGACTCATGATTGAATTTTCTCTAATCCAATCAGAACTCCGGCCGTCCCTAAGGGCGCTTCATTAGGAAGAAGAAGGCGGGAATTGAAGTGAGAAATGACATAAAAAGTAGCCAATAAGTCTCTACGGATAATTAATAATGGGCGGATGCTACTTAGCGTGGTCAAGCACTTGCCACACAGAGGCGAGAAGAGAGAAGAAGAAGAAGACTGCCTACTCCAATGAGGGCTGTCGACGTTATAAAATTGACCAATGGGGATAACGGTTCCTGTTGATTTTAGGAAAAGGTGACGGATGTTGGCGCCATTTTAGCTCGGCGCAGAAGGCGATGTTCCGCCTTTTTCCTCCATTTAACGAAGGAGTTATGTAACGAGAAGTGACGCTATTGCTTTTTCTTCCCGGGAATCGATGACAGGGTGTTGACATCCGGTCTTAATTTTAGCGGCTGGAGTAGTGTTTTATCTTCCTTAATAAATTATCGTCCTATAAAAAAGATTCCTGTATTTAAAATTTTCAATACGTTTTATAATACACTTTATAACATGCATTAAAACATACCGTTGAAAAGGGGAGCACGTGCACGGGCTTAAGGATTTCTAAAAGAGAAATGGCATGTTTTTCCTTGTTATTTTTGTCAAAACTAGTCAAAAGGTTTTTCTAAAACTCACTTAAAGCACAACTCTAGGCATTTTGATTGGAAAGTCCTGGGATAGCAAGCCATGCTGGATCAGGCCCCAAGGTCTGTCTAGGCCAGCACTCTGTAGGCACAGTGGCAAACCAGCTGCCTCAAGCAGGATGGGTGCAAGACCTTCTCCTGCCCAAGCTCCTCAGCAACTGGCTTGCCACCTTTGGTAAAGGAGGCAGCTCATAGCTAGCAAGGCTAGTAGCCACAGTTAGCCACCTCCTCCATGAGTCTGTCCAGTCCCCTTTTAAAGCTGTCCAGACTGGCAACCAACACCTGTGGCATCGAATTCCCTAGTTCCATAGTTATACCTTCCTCTTATCTGTCCTAGATCTCCCACCAATCAGTTTCATGGGATGCTTGAGGAAGAAAAATGTTTCTCCACTTCATGTGTTATTTTAAATACCTCTATCATGTCTAGCTTTACTAGTTATATCCCATTTGGATCACTGTGACATGTTCTATGTTGGGCTGTTTCTGCAGAGCGTTTGGAAGTTGCAGCTGGTTCAGAGAGTTGCTGCATGCTGCTGACCAATTGGCTACGGGAACATGTAGCCCCTCTGTTGAAAGAGCTTCCCTGGCTCCCAGTCTGTTTCCAGGCACAGTTCAACGTGCTGGTGATGCTCTGTAAAGCCCCATTTGGCTGGTGTCCAGGCTATCCGAAAGATCCTCTTCTCCCATATGAGAGATCTTCTGGGGATGCCCTTGTCTTGCTCCCACCAACCTCACAGGCAGACTTGGTAGGAACATGGGAGAAGTGACTGCCCCATGGCTCTTGGGATTCCCTTTCTGGGGAGGCAAAAGCCTTTTTGTTCCAGCAGCCATTTGGGGAGAGATTATGAATTTGTGCTGAATCTTTATACTGTCTGTAGTATGTTTAATCTGAGTATTTGTTCAATTTTAATATTTAACTTTTTTAAAAATTATGATACATTTTTGAATATTTTATTTTTATGAATGTTAATGTGAGCTATCTTGAGTCCCAGTCGCTGAGAACAAGTGAGATATAAATAAATATAACAACAACTTACTATCTTCTTTTCTCCAAGTTAAAAGCAATAGCTGGTCAAATGACACTGTGATTTAATCTGTACATGGCTTCTCTCTGGACCTCTAACTACTGTTTATCCAGTAGTTACTGTTTGGGCATGGACAATGCTAAGGGATCCAGAAAAAAAAGGGATTGAATATTATTTCTGCAAACTAAAAAAGATGTGATGTGCTGAGAAGTAAATATCCAACAAAGCTTACAATTGTACCCATATGCACAAATGCAAAAAGACGGTGCATGGAAATCATGTGAATGGGTATGAGGGAGGAATCGTGCTCTCATGAACTGTAGTGTAAGAAAATATAAGCAAGACAGTTCTCCAACTGCTCCATAATATTCTGTTAATGCCAATGAAATGAATTGATTCTATCCTCCCCTTTGTTGATTTTGCAGGCTTTGCAAATAACAAGGGGCAAAATTCTGTTCTCATCCTCTCAATGGAAGTCCTCTTGGAGGAAGCTATGATTGTAGCATGAGAGCAGCTGCAGCCCATGTTAAATCAGCAGCTGGAAAATTCTGTTTTTACCAGGCATGACCTCACACCCCCATTCTCATGCAAGGAAATTATTTTCATTTCATTCCTGTAGATCAGAGGGCAATCAAAAATGCAGGGTTAATTAGTCTAAGCTTTGAAAAAGACCAGTGAACAAAACTGCAGTGGATTATGTGAAATAATATGATTGTTAATACAAATGGTACTGTTACTGCTGCTTCTGCCTAGTTTCATATTCAGGCTGGTATATAGTGCTCTGAGGAGTAAAGGCAGGGCTCTGTGGAAGCTGTTACAGCCACCCCAGAAACACCACCAAAGGGCACTGCAACAGGTACTGAGGCCTTTGGTGAGGTGGGCATATTACATTTTGGGAAAATCAGATGGCCCAGATTCACAGATCAGCAGAGACAGGAGCATGATCCCATTGTATACTGCGTAAAGGGTGAGCTCTGTCAGGATTTCAGACCTGCTTGGAATGAGTATTTGGATTTGATGGAAGTGTACAGTCAAACACTCAACGGTTTATTTACAGCAACAGAAGGCCTGAAATTTCAACAGCACTGAAAGGTAGCAGTCTAAGACTAGCTACCAGGAACAGAACATGTACAGAGTGTTTTATGGAGTTGCAGTCATATAGGCATGGCAGAGAGGGGAATGAGAATTTTAATGGGTGATATGCAAGAACAGTATAGAAGCACAGAAGGACAATTCAGAAACAGTGAGAAATCCTCAGGGAAACATTGGAAAAATATGACTCATCGAGATCTTGAGTGGCAGATAACAAGATAACACAGTCAGAAGTTACAGACTTGAACAGGCTTCCATGTTTGCTTTTTACAGTCTGAGGTAGGAAATTGCAGAAAGACCATGAGGAGCTGGCCCAATATTGGAATACGCAAACTAGCTGCATTGTATCATCCCCCTGCAGGCTGTGCTCTGCACTGGAGAGCGATTCGCCAGCAGGTGAATACTGCATATCCTGGGAGCTGTTCTCCCTTTTTCCTTAAAAGGAGCCAGAATGGAAAAACCCTGCAGCTTGGGCGGAGGGGCAGGCAACCCTTTCCTTATTCTAAAGTATAAAACATATAACTTGTATTGGGGCAACTGCAACGGTACCGAGTGCTGGAAGAGTTGGCCCATAGCGAGCTTGTCTTTCAACTCTATGGGCCAGTCTTCATTATGGGCTGTCTGAGGGTTGTTGAATGCTCAAATAACCACAGCTGGGAGGATTTGTAAAACATGGCAAACCCCAATAGATGGTTCTATATTCAGAATGAGGGCCTATGTGTACTGCAGCTCCTTGATGGGCTATTGTGTTGCATGGAGCAGTGCTTTCAAAGGAGAAAAGGTCATTTGCCAATGGCCCTCCTGCCCAAGCCTGGTGTGCTTGGCCTATCAACTTGCCAATCTGGACCTGGCACAAGGCACTGGAACATTTACTGAGGTGCAGCTAGATTTCTGCTTGTTAAGTAAAAGGTTGCTTTTTAAAGGTTTTTGTTTGACTGTTCTGGAGCTGACGAATCATAATTAAAAGTAATTGCCTGTTTACTAAAACTGCAGATTTTACCCAGCATCTTTTACAACAACCATCCCTGGGGATGTGTTGCAGAGCTAAGCTGCTTTCCTCTGTTATTATTACATTAAATAATTATCATGGA